CAGTCATTATGACCCTTAGTACCAGTTTCACCCTGCAGCTCTGCCAGTCTCCCAGGGCATGGGCAGGACTATGCCTGGGATGAGGCTGTCACTTCACTGGGCAGCACATCCTCTTTCCAAATGTAAGAAATGGTTACTGGCATACCAGGAGTCCTGGGAACAGGTTTCCTTCTCCCTGTCTCCCTGCCACCAAGAGCAGGCATGGTGACCCATCCTACCCTCGCATCTTTGAAGGTTTCAGTGAGTAGGTTTTTCACCTAATGCCATGCACATTTTCACAATAGGAAGCCTCCCTGGCCTGCGATACCGCACTGAATTATAAACCCTAAGCTGCTCTATTTGCACAGCTGAAGGCACATTGGGGAAATCACATCTTTGAGCCAAAACCAACACCACATTTGCTGTCGTGATGGCAGGGCAGTTTTTTAAAGTTAGTTATAACACAACAAGTCAGTCATCAGCAACAGCAGCCTGACAAAATACCACAATTTACAGCTCCGCTAGTTCAGGGGAGCTATTATTTTTGTAAAGACTGACTGATGTTTTCTGAATTGTGCTACAATATGAGGTTTTCTTTCCCAAAGCAGCATGGGATGACGATAGGAGAGAGAAGGCTTTCTTTCAAACAACGGAGAGAGTAGTATTTGATAAGTCAAAAGATCATGTATGTAACTGTTGAATTATTAAATTATTGTACATGAACGATGCGGTGTAAGGGCAGGCTGTAGTCCTTCAGCCATTTTGGCAGCAGATAGTTGCCAAGTTCACTTGGCTAGACAACAGCCATCAAGTTGTTTCATCACAAACACTCCAGTGTTTGTATTTCCATATTTAAGTGGACTGCAATACAAAGCACAGAGACAGAAAAGAGCCTAGGGTCTTCTGTTTAAAGGACAGATGCGTATGTAGTGCACAACAGTGCTGAAACCAGAGGAGATGGAGGGAGGGAGAGCTTTCCTGGCTTGTAATTCACTGATGCGTACCGATAGGGCTAAGCATTAAAACCCTTCTTCACAAATACACTTTATTTCCAAGTCTAGTTTTTAGCTACCAGCTCATAGGAAGCTTGAGATAAGTCAGACACCACCTTTCCCTCCCCCAAGAAACTATATTTGAATCCTTCCATTTCAAACAAAAACCCCAAGCTTCTGGCAAATGGAATTGTGTCAGTATGGCCTTCCTAACATGAGAGACAAGGCTACGAGCTTGGCATAGATAAATCTCTCTGAAACCTGAAGGTATATTTACAACGGATGAGCCATCACACCAAATTCCAGATTGCTTCCTTCTCAGCAAAGTAACACTGCAGCTGAAGCACTCCATCTTAGCTATCCATGCTGCTGCAGCAGCCACTTCCCTCTGGTAAATCAGGTTATCTGAGATGAACAGGGGATACCAATTTTATTTTGACAGATGAGTACCAGCTGTGTGAAGGACTTGACCCTAAACACGCACCCAAACACTGAAGGATAGTATTTCCTAGGCACCTTTCAGAAACTGAATTTATATCAGCACTATAACACCACAAGCTTTGCTGCAGTAAAGAGAATTTCTGAAACCAAGTGCTCAAGCGTGAACTTCCAAAGAGGAAGGGTTTGCAGGAAGGTGACTTGAATGACTAACATTTACTAAGTATACATCACAACCTCTTTATTGAGGAGAAATACACAAAAACCTGAAAACCTCCTCTTCATGTTGATCAAACATTTTGGTTCGTGACTGATGAAATCCAGTGTCCCTAGGCAGAAACCCTGGTGTTGACTCTTGATGACTCTGGATGGCACTTGTCACTGCCCTAGCTTGCAATACCAGCCAGCTTGTAACACCCATCAATCACACAGTGGCCACCCAGTCTCCCTGAAAGAAGGAAAAGAGGAAGGGGAGAGAAGACACAAGCAAGGAGCTGTCACCTGCCGACAGCGTCAAAAGCATTCATGTCCAGGGAGCCCGGAGAGGGGACGGCTCTGGGTCCTGGTGATGTGCAGCCCAGTGTTCCCACCCCATCAGTTACATACTGTGCAAAAAGCTGTCCCCTGCAGTGCTCTCACAGATGTTTGCCTCTTCAATATTTTGTCCCCGGTGGTTTGCACAGGCCTCGTGGGAGAGGAGAGAGATCTCTGCTCGTTGGAGCAGCCAGTGCTTCCTCTGGGAAACACAGCAGCATCAGGGGTGCTGCAGAGGTAGGAGTCACGCTGTATTAACTGCCCTGCAACTCTCCTGGTGGCCATTCATGTGCTTTTGGGGGCAGATCCCAATCTGGGGATTACTTCTCTTTGCATGTATGTTATCCAATGTTGCATAAAACAGTATTTCATATGCTTCAGTAGAAGGAGTCTCTCTCCAGACAGTTGTATGGAGCCACCTTGGCTTTTGCAGTCAGTGGAGCTTGGAGCGGGGCCCTCTGAAGCTGGGCGGTGGGCAGCCGGCAGGGGGAAACCAAGCCCATCAGCCAGGAGCGGTAATAGGGTGGCAGTCACCTGTGGGAAGCGTGCATGATATATTAAGCCCTATAGTCCCCATACCTCTCCCTTGTCTCTTACAGGGGTCACCAAAAGATCAGAAGGGTTGGGGCAAGCCCTTAAGAGATAGCAAAGGCAGCATACCACCAGGGGCAAAAGCCTCTTGCAGGGCACAGATGAGGACTCGCAAACCTTCTGGCAGCATCCCCAAGTCAGTCATCACCTCACCAACTTTCCCAGATTACCCTCCAACCAGAGAGTAGCGTACTTCCCTGCTGCTATCTGTACTAGACTCTGGCTAAGGCCCAGTCAGATGGGATGCAGACCAGTTCTGTGCCAGCTACATTCAGGCACACGTACCCCACGTCTCCTGGCAGGGGGTCCATGGCCATTTTGAACGAGGAGGTGGTATTGATATTGAAACCTCTGTGATTGTAATGCTGTAAATCATTTGGGTAAATTATTCTTGACGAGACAATGGGATAGAAAGAACAACTGGACCTAAAACCAGGTACCAGAAACTTAAGTGGGATGATTGCCCGAGAAACTTGGCTATACTGCATGAAATGTGCCCTTTAGGTCAACTTGACTAACTATAATATGAAAACTACTCATCTAGAAGTTAGGATACCCACCTCCACTTAAAGACCCTCACCAACTGAGCCAGTGCAGTAAAATTAAGAGATGCTGTACCTTTAATTGAAGATGAGGACATTTTACACCAATCAGCTTCAAGATAAGGAATTACGAGCACCAGTTAAAGGTTGATAAACAATTAAATGTGATGAGCAGCAGGGGTGACACAGGCCAGAGGCCCCAGGCACTAAGACACCATGAGAACAACCTCATCTCCCTTGGATTTGTTCCCATTCGCGTAGCCTCCACCTTTCCCAAAGTGGCAGCTTTCCGACAGAAAAGGCAGCCTAGCTCCTATTTGAGAAGAGTTTCACATGCTGCAGGCAACATTTAAGGAGACGGGGGAGTCTCCCCTGCCACTACCCCCAGTCTGAGCTGTCACTGCCCTCGATAGGTCATAGGTGCTCTTTCATGTCAGAGTAACCTGTGCTCACTGCCAGCTTCCATCTCTCCCCACCCCACTGTTAAGCATCTTGCGGCAGTGCTTGCTTCCTCCCCGCTGCCTGGTGAGTAAGTCGTTGCCACAGAACTGCCTGTTTTGGACAGCAAATTCCCATCAACAGCAGGTACAACTTCCCTGCTCTTACTTCAGTCAGACCCTTCCTTTTCTTGCCTCATAACTCACTGCTTCATTTCCCCCTCCTCCCAAATATCCCATAACCAGACTGCAAAACAGATGAGACAGAGCTTTAATAATATATATGTTCCCTCGCTGTACTTGCTGGATGCCTGAGAGCGCTGTTTTAATGAGTCAAATCTGGCTTTCTCCTAATACCACTGTGAGGCCACAGCATAGTCAAACTGAACATCTTTTGAAGGCTGTTTCTAAGAAGATGAGAGAGGAGGCCCTCCAAAGAGGCATGAATCAAGGGGGGGTGAGGGAAGACACTTTCCTCAGGCCAGTTTGCCCCAGAACCTCACTCCTTGAGTACAGAAGCCTCCCGTCATCAGTGTGGGTCGTTAGGCAGTTCTTGAAATGACTGTGGCATTTTCTTTTAACAGGACATAGCAAGATCCATATGCTTATGTGTCCTCCTTATTCACATGCTCTGTTCCTGTGCACCAGCTCTATTTAGATCACTTTTCCCCACTGCTTAACATTTGCTTTCAGTTCTTCTCATTTCTTTCCCAGTTCCTCAGTTCTTGCCCATTCCTTCTCCCAAGTCCTGCCCCAAGTTGCACATAACAAACTGGAAGGAGTAATTTCTCTCAGCTCTATCCAAGCTTTGCACTTCATTGTATAAAATCTAAATCATACACTGCAGCAAAATATTCCTCTAACAAGACTATTCTGTGGTTTAGACAAAGGGTACAGGCAACTGAAAAGCTTTTTCTTTAAATTTCAGCCCCTGAGATCTCAGACGTTACTTTGCTACTGGCACAGAGGTGCGTATCATATTAGCACTGTTGCATACTATATTAGCACTGTTGCATACTATATTAGCACTGTGCATACCAATCTTCATGGAGAAAAAAAATAAGAACAGCTCCCTTGGAACATGCATGCTTATTTTTGGCTCATTAACTTCACTGGTCATAGCACAGCTGTGACGGGTTGGGAAGACAGGTAGAACAAGTGATCTTTGCTATTCTCAGGATCACGTCCAGCCTACACTTATACCTTACGGTCACGGACAAGTCTGCTTGGAGGAGCCTGATTCAAAGCCTGTTGACAACAGCAGAAGCATTCCTAACCCCCATGCTGTATTTTAACTAGATAACAGGAAGCAAGCCTGTCCGAAGGCTCGCTGTTCATCTCACTCTTAGCATTCCTTAGTGTTTACACAAATGCCCTCCCACCCCCATCCCCACACACAATACTAAACACTGTGCTCCATGTCAGAGTCTTATCATAACCATTAACCCCAGCACAGCTGGATATGACGGGCTCCAAGCAGTACCCGGCTAAATGGGTTTCTGCAGCTCCAGGAGCGCCAGGTCATTTCTGACAGGAAACCCACCAAAGCCGTAGCGCGCGAGCATGGCTTTCACAAGCATGGGGTTGTCATCTTTCACATTTGGCAACAAATATTTTTTCCCCAGAACTGTTCTGTCTGGGCATTGGGCAAAGAGGAAGAAAAACAAATGTATTTTCCAGTCTAAAAAACCCCATAACTCAGACAACAGAAGAGTCCAAAGTTCACTCGCAACATTGGCTGCCGAGCAACACTCATGTTTCAAGACTCACAACCTTACATCACAGGGACACTTTTGGGAATTGCACTTGAGGTATCAGTGCTTTTTGTGCTGTACTGACAGAGAACTTTGACTTGTATCTCCAAAGGTTTGCTGCTGCTGCTACCATTAACACAGAGTCCAGAGGTGAGTCAGTCGCTCACCTTCTCAGGAGCCAGACCCCAACACGGATGAAGCTTGCATCGAAGCTAGAGACCTGTGCCGCGTAACTAATTTGATGAAACATTCGAGACCTATGCCACCACCATGGGTGTCTATATAGAATAAAGATGAAGGTTCAACAGAAGCATGTAGTACTTCAACCTAACTGAGGCTGGTAAGTATATAAAGGGGGGGCCAGAGACATAATCAGCATTTTTGGGGGGGGGACAGAGGACAAGCTCTCCCAGGACTGCATGCATACATTAATTACTAGGGACACACCAAAGCCCATGCCTCATCTGTACTGCCACCATTGCTAGCAGCACAGAAAGCCACACAGGAAGGTTTAAGCTGCTGGAGGGCAGCTCTGGATGTATGTAGACATGTGGGAAACAGTAAGCCCATCTCTGTTTGCCAGGACTGACAAGACAGCTTAGAAATTGTCCTGTCTGGAGGCTAGCAAGCCCTCGGTGCTCTGATGGGGGAGTACATTGCCCACCTGAAGTTGCAGTGTGCAGCTGTCAGGACCCATTTTTCATCAATTAGAAAACCTTCACAGAAGTGTTAATGCTCATACTGCAGGCTGGCCAGACAGGGTGAGGACACCAGGGTTGACCAGGTCCTTTCATCCGCCATGGACTTCCCGCATGGGTCTGCCAGCGATTCAGTACTTATTGCACAGGGAACGGATCCACCACTGGAAATTTGCATTTCTCTGGAATTATTTCTTCACTCTTAGTGAGGATATTTTGGTTGGGGTTTTGTTTGTTTGTTTGCTTGTTGGGTTTGGGGTATTTTTTTTGTTAAATAAAATTGGTCACAGCCAGGCGAGCTAGTATTGTCCAACACGAAACTAACACCAGAATCATTGTGGACAGCTGTGTCCACACCAAAGGTTCCACAGTAGCCCACTGGTGGGATTGAAATGTCTGTATTGGAGAGAGTTGGGAATGCTTTGCTCTAATTTTCCCTTCAAAAGAACAGAAGTTGTCCATGCATGCTATACCAAAAAATAAAGTCCTCAACTAATACCAATTGAGGAAGGACTTGAACCTCGATGTCCCAGATATGTACAGGCTGGCAAAATGTCCTGGGTAAGCAGCTCTCCACAGATTTTTCAGGAAGTCACATTCTGCAGGTGAGAAGCATTTCATGACCCCTTTTTTTTAGTCAAAACTCTATTTATGAAGTGTTTGTATTACAGTAAGTTTCCATTTTCTAAAACTAGTTCACTAAAGTGTTCCCAACCATCTCCAGTAACAGCGAATTAAACAGTGCATAAATAACCCATATCCCACCACCACAAGCTTTCACTGATCACAAGAGGTGTTAGCATGAGAAAGGAAAGAAACAAAACTAGAAGCAAACAGTATTTACTTTCCTCAGAAACTGGTAATACAGAGGATGAGTCTAAGGGGAAAAAAGGTTTAACAGAAAGTAAGTCCTTTAAAAGCTTGTAATTGGTAGAGTTGGTTTGGAGAAACCTACTGAGATTTTTAAGGGCTGAGATAAAACACATCTCCCTGTTTTGGTGGCAGTCTGGATCACACCATGGGAACTAATCTTTTTATAACAGACTCCTTTATCCCTTTTATGTGCCCCAGGAAAAGGCACAACCCTTTAGTAAGAGAAGTGAAGCTCTCGAGCAAAAGTTAACACAGATGGATTAAACTGTTTGGCATTCTGCTTCCTGTTTATAGTCTCAGATTCCAGACAGTGGTTATTAATTAATCAGAGGTCAATTACATGCTGAGACTAAATGTTCCTCCCAATAAGCATCTGTTTTAAACAAAAACAAGCCGACCCCAAAACTAGTTTAAATAAACAGCCATTCCTCAGGGACGTTTCTGTATTTGGCTTGGTGACAGTGAGAACAGCAGAGATACGAGGGCTACCACCTCGTGTGAAGTGCCTGGGGTGAGCACCGAGTTAACTCTCTGCGGTTTTGGATGCAACAGAGCACGGAAGAGTATCTTGAAGTGATCTCAGACAATAGCTTTTGGGGAAGCACATTCAGCAAATAAACATTACGGATGTCCCTGTCTGTAACCTTCAATACTATTTTAACAACAGGATCGCTTTGTGGCTTAGGCAGGGAAAGACCCAGAGCCTTACTTACATCAGCTGCTGCCTTCCAGCTCACCGCATTGGCTGCCGATACAACTTTCCACGAAGGATTTTGAAGTCTCTGTATCCCACAGATTCATCAGTTTTAAAATCCAGGGTCAGGAAGCTACTGCTGGAGAATATGCTGCAAGACATTTTCTGGCCGCAGAAGTTTGCTGGTGAGGGGAAGAAGAAAATACTGCAATTGTAGTCATTACCAAGTAGTTTGAGAGACAGCCCCTACACTTATACCCAGGGACAGACTTTTTAATCTGAGCTTTTTGATTCTCAGAGGTATTAGTGGATTTCTCTGAGGTATTTCAGGAGGTACATGTCTAGTGGCCTATGCAATATCATTCCCTACCCAGGCTGAAGAGGTCGTGCCTAGTGCAACAGCCAAATTGTTTTTGTGTTCTATATGAGTGCATCTCTCATACTTTAGTGAGATTATTTCAATAACCAGTTCTCTAAAATGTCTGTGTACATGGGAGGAAAAAGGGAGGAGACAGAGGGAGAATGAGGGAAACATGAAGCCATTTCAGTGAACATTTTGGTACCCAAAGATCCTGATGTCTGTATGGCCCAATGCAGCTTCAGTATTCACAGCAGCATCTGCTCAAACTATTTCAGACACAGAGTGAGACAAGTACCAAGATACAAAGGGTTAAGGAAAAAAGGGTTTAAAAGAAAGATTGATAGAAGTATCCTCTCAGACACAGCCATGATGCTGGAAGTCAAGAGCTGCTGAGTCCAGGACACTTCTACTGAAGAAGTAGCTGCTCTCAATGGCTCTCAGGAAGCCTGCTGCCACTTGGCCCTGCCATACAGGCACTAATCAGATGGTGTTGCCCTCCTCCCTGCCTCCCACACCCCACAACTGAAGGGAACGTGGTCACTTTCATTCAATAAAAGGGGTCAGAAGAGGAAGATAGTAAATGAACATGTAGTTCAACCTACCCAGAAGCCTCAAAGAGAGATGTGGATCATCATAAACACTCAAATGATCCCAAATGCAATCCATTGCACCCTCAGTTACAAAATCGTTAAGTACAGCCTTCAGCTTATTTCCTGAAGTAGAATAAATTATCCAAGTGCAGTTCAATATGTCAGGGTAAATGCCAGGGTAACTGAGAGATGTTATTTCAGTGGCTCCAACTGGAATTAGATCAAAGCCTGGGCACTCTAAGAAGAAAAAGATAAAACAATCATATCACAAAGAAAAACCTGTTTCTGCATGAATTTCCTTAAGCAGGCCTATTAATATTGGAGAAAGAAGAGATCTTAGTGTTAGATCTTAAGTTCTATTGGTTGAAGTGAACATTTGCATGGCTTCAAAGCACGTGTTCTACGTGCCATGTACACAGAGAACTTGTTCAACCAGGGAAAGGGCTACAGACTTGGGAAACTGCTTGAACTCTGAAGATCGGTCTAGAAGCCAGACACCGAGATCCTACATACAGGATCACTTGGAGTAACCTTTCCTAATGGGCTGGTCAACCTGGCTAAAGTTCAAGTCCTCATACAAAGTGCAGAGATGGGTTCAAGGATCTTGGATCCAACCTATTTGAGGTTGTTGGAATTAGCTAAAGTTTGGGATTTTTTGGTGGGGTTTTGTTTTGTTTTAGGTGGGGTTTTTTTTTCCTTCAAGTAGCCATTCATTTCTTCAAGCATACGTAGCAACTCTGGCAATGGGAATTGAAAGTGAATATGGCAAAATAGGGATGTGCTGATTGAAGAAAGTACATTTAGTACTGACATGGCTAATGTTGCTGGCGACAGTCTCGTACCCAAGTGTTCACACTTACCTGTGACAGAGATTAGCCTCCAAGCCACAAGTACAAAATGTGCATAAAAGGAGGTAAGGGCCGGGGGGGAGGTTGTTTTGTTTTGTTGTTGGTTTTGGGTTGGTTTTTTTTGTTGTTGCTGTTGTTTTTTAAATAGGCTTTTTGCTCTTTTTGGAAATTTAAAACCAGTCTTACCTTTCTCAGCAGCCTTGGTGTTTCCACCTTTCAGACCTGAAAGGAAATCACTGCCTTACCTGAAGTACACAAACGCAGACGAGCTTACAGGGCTATTCCAGGGAGGGGAGCCTGAGCCAAGATGAGTTTTGAGTGAATGGAGAAGGCACCTCCTGGTTTTCAGAGATATGGCTTGGAGTGCACCTTGGAAATGCGTGTGTGCACGTGAAAAAGCGGACAGGCCTCTGTTGATGGTCCTGTAAGTCTGATGAATTTTAATATGAGAAATTTAATTGCTGTGATTTACTTTTGAAGCCCAACTCACTTGCCTGATACGTGGAGAAGCAGATGTGCTCCTTCACCCTGCAGTGAGAAGCACAGGTAAGACAGAAGAAAGGGGGATGCAGGAAGGAGATTAGATGTGTCTCGAGTCGCTAGAAATGCAAAATGGTTTGCTTCCACAAAAACAAAAGAGTCAGACTGGATATATCTCCCCAGCTCCAAGTTTCTTTAATCTGAGGCATAAAAGTACTAATTTGCTTAATGGTGCCAGGGCAATGCTATTCACAGAGAAAACTGTCTGCCCATGTCACTAGCTGAACCCTGGCCTGGGAAGCAAGAAAATGCAGGAGGTTTCCTTTGATCTTTAAGCTCAGAGCCCAATTAACTGCGTAGCTCCCTGGGCACGCAGCAGAGGTGAGGTTTGGGGGCAGGAAGCAGTGGTAACAGCAGCACCCAACAGCAGTTTTGCCTACTGGTGAAGAAGCAGAAGAGAGATTATTGAAGTAATAACAGACAGTCCATGGGGACAGGGGATTCTGCTTTTGTGGAGCAGAATGGAAAGGGGCATATAGAGAGCAACAGCTAAGTCAGTTATCTCCTTTTTACAGGTTTATAGTGGGAAGCACAGGACATAGATCACTACTTATGCATTTAATCATCAGAACTCAAGATCTATCATTCTTAATGGCCATTTCTCTTCAGAACATATAGATCTGAGACTGCTTAATACATCACTCAACATCTTCAGAAAACATCTAAACAGCATGGAATCTTTTTCATTCATACATAATACTTATATATATATATATATATCCCAGCCATACTTTAGCCTCTACTTCTCTACCCGCACCCCAAAATCTTAATAGACTTACTAGATAATATATCATGAACAGAGTAAGTCAGGAGAAGGCCTTTCATGGCTGCCTCAGCCCTGGAAGTGAAGGTCACTGTCACCATTGAACCTTGAGATTTTATGGGATAGAGGGAAACATCACCACCGAAGTTGCCTGCAAAATAGACCAGGATGGGACATAAGCCTTCCACTTTCCTTTTTTTTTCTCTTGAGGGCTGTAAGGCTCAGCCTTGCAAAATGCAGTGTCAGAAAAGATTTCCCTTTCTAAAAGCCTCTTACTCAGACTTGAATTCATGCATTGGACTACAGACATGTCCAGAAGATAGCTTGCTATACGTGCAACCAGAATGGTAACTAAATGGTAATTAAAATAGTTAGAAGTGCCCATTATAACCACTACAAATCATTAGTGGCACATGCCCACTGCTTGGACTACTTTCGTTGGAAGAAATCCCTGCTCTGACAGGCAGCCCCCACCTCAGGCTCTTTTATGCAAGACACTATGCAATGCCCGCAGGGCTGTGGGACATCTATATTCCCTGGGGGAGTAACTGAGACCTGGAACTGAAGAACCTTGTATCCATGAGCACCTGAACAGTTTAAATCTCCAGTCTATGCTTTCTCTTTCCAATAGAGAAGATAGTTTCACAGCTTTGTTTCCCCAGCACTATCCTACATAACCAAGCCAACAGCTCCTTAGTCAGGGTGGGAAGGTACCTCCTCCGGCATAGCAGGGCAGTAAGAAAAACTTCTTTTCCCTTGGCTCCATCGCTCTGACCTGCTGCCTTTGGCACACGACTTTGGACACACAGAGCAAGTTGTCATGCTGCAAGTTCAAGCCTGGGAAAGAGCAACCCAGACAGACTCATGTTTTTCCAGAGCAAAGCCATGCCATGATCAGGACCTCACATCCGATACATTTGATTGCAACAGTATTTCTAGGAAGGGAAAGATAGTGAGCTAGCTGAAGTAGCTCCAAGTGTTATCAGAAATCCCTCTGGAGCATGGAAGTGTGCCATGTAAAACTCCCTTCTCTGTCTGCAAAAGAAACTTAGTTCAGCTCCTCTGTTTCTCTCACCCCAGAATTAAGGTGAGCTCTCTCTCACCTATTAACTCTTTGGTTAGCCCAAATCCTTCATACACCATCAGCTGGCCGTGACAATTAGAGAGATTTCTTTCAGTCCAGAAGTCCAGGACCTCAAGCCGAATAATGGATTTTAATGGGGCTACAATTCTCCAGTGGCAGCTGCGGCACAAAGTAAAGAACAAAGTCGCAATCCCAGAATATTTTACAATTGGCTCTTATTTCCTAGGGATAGCTATCAAAATGTGAGCAAAGGCAAAAGGGATTGTAATGCCCATTAAAAAGAGAAAAGGGAAAAAAAAAATCAAAGATGGGATACTGGTCCAAATCTATTTCGGTCATATTATTCATTACTTCTGAAGTTAAGCTTTCAAACAGTTTAGAAGTCTATGCTATTGCCACGTGAATGGAAAGTTATCTCTTACCCTAACTAAGCACGATAAGGGGAGGAAGAAAGGAAACAGATCAAAGCACCAGAAGATTTTTACTGACAAAGTTTGGCACCGCCATTGTTAAACATTCAGTTACACCATGTTCAGGCCTCAGACATGATTTGTGAGGAGAGCTTTGCCCAGAGGTGTTAGATTTGTCTGCTGTTTGCTGGAAAGAAGGTACTGGTGCCCCCCAGATTTCCTAACTCTTTTTGAGGAACTTGCCCGGTTTTCAAAAAATGCACTGAAATACCTATGGATTCATAAAAAAACACACCACAGATATTTGCAGACCTTACTGTGAGAGTTCCAAAAGCCAGAAGAACTCAGGTGCTCACCTGGTGGACTTTATGTATCTCATGGTGTATCCCAGTATCTCATGGTGTATCATCCCTTCCTGGTTTGTAAGGATGACATCCGTGCATCGTGACAACTCTGAGCTCATCTTCTTGGGGTTTTTTTTGAGCATTGCTACGTTTTTGTCCTAGGAATAATAAGAACGTCGAGCATAAAATTCAGTTTTAATATTAAGTTTTATATGGATTTCCACTGGGGACTATGACAATTCCTATATGACATAACACCTTCATTGAAAAGCATGTATCATGAGAACCAATTCAGAGAGCAAGAACCTTGAAATGCTCGTTTCAAAAGTTCATCTTTTGTATGGAAAGTCTCCAGAAAGCCCCCAAAGACATCTTAAATAGAAGTACCTTCTTGAAGCTTTGATCAAACATGTGAGTTCATCTTTTGAGAGAAGTGGTTGTACAGCTTGACTGTATCTTGGACCCTGAGCATCAAGTCTTCAATGCCAAAAGCAGCAGGGCCAATGGAGTGGAGCACCTCCTTCACCACAGGTCCGTGACTCTGGAGGACCCCAGGAGACTGCACGGTACCACACAGCACAGCTAGAAGCAAATCCAAGCACACCACCATGGCTGTAAAAACACCGTTTGAGAAATGGGGGCAAAAATCATCAGGTTACTCTGTGGCAAAGCAGAAAAGTGGGGAACAATTCACATTTGAGAGATGTTTGATGCCAGTAATGTAGCTGCTGCGCAGTCTCCTGATGAGGCAGCAGGCAGCACCTCCAGTCCCTGTCCTGCAACCAGTGCCCCACTGATGACCAGCAAGGATTCGTTCAGTTCATTGCACAGTATCAGCTGCCCAAAGTCTACCTACAAGACTAGGCATTTTGTTTGCCTTCTGTCCTGAAAAATCACTAGATTGCTTAAGTGTTCATTCTTGGACTAAAATTGTAAGTGAGAAGGGACAGGGAATTTTTGCCATTGCTCCATCTTCACTGATAGGTATTTTCAGTTGTCATGCACACTGAATTGCTTTCGGGTTACTTCCTGGCTCTCTGACATTTCCAGCCTCTTTCTCCTCCATCATACCATCATCCTAAAGTTCTGGCTCATGCTGGCATTAAAGCCCAAGTCTACGTTTTAGGTTCCTCAGTAAAAGTAATTAGGCTTAGAGACAGGCACCCACTGATTTCTGTTGCTCACCGGCTCTAGAGAAGGAAGGGGGAAAAAGAAAGAAAACAGGCTGTTTCAATATGCTGGCATATAAATAGACATAGGAATCTAGTTTAATATACCCAACCTTGAAAAACTGCCAGCCATAACAAATGCTATTACATAGCAGCGAGTCTGTGTGCTGGAGGGCGCTCCGGGGAGCAATCTATTAGACTCCTATTCAGGGAAAAGTTTGACTGATGGCCCCATTTCTGATAGTATTTTCTTCTGTCCTGCATATAGATAGTTATGATAGTTAAACTGCTATTCTCAGCTGTAATAGACATACTTCTAGATTATTTTTTTTGTGTGCTTTTATAAGTAAGTTCTTGGAGGAAGATAGCTGTGGAGTTCTCTAAGAGATTCTTAGCACATCCTCTGTCTTTCTCCTCTCCTGTCCTTTCACTTCCAACCCAGAATTAACTGATGTGCTAAAATGAAGATTTGGTCAGTGGTTTGGGGTTTTTTTTTAATGAAAAAAAATATTCCCAGCATGTCTCATTACCCTAAAGGTCTTTGTCTGGAAGCATTACTAGTGTATTTGGTAAAAAAATGGTATTCTTGTTCAAAACCAGTTTATTTTCCTAACGTGAGGGCACATAGCCCTCATTTACACCCAGACATTAAATACAGCCTCTTCCCTAGAGCATTAGCCATCACCACCAATGCGATGTAAAAGGACAAGGGTCTAAACAGAATAGCTATTATCCCAAAACTTTCTCCAGAGGCATTGCTTAGTTTGGAAAATATTTGGAGAATACATTCACTAGAATTCACCTACAGGATTCCCAAAGGCTGATGGTGGATTTCTCCACCACACTCAGTCTAATAGGAAATCAATACGGATACCTACCCAGGAGAAATGCTTCTGTATAACTCATTCATAACATCTGTAATCACAAGAAATTAAACCTAAAGAAAGGCAGAATAAAGGGGGATGTGGGAGGGGAAGAAACAAACACATTGAAGAGCTGGGAGGGAATGATAGGAGAAGGAACACCTTCACAAGTCAGAGATCCTTCAGCACACCCAATAACACTTCTGCACCTGTAGCCTTCATGAGTTCCCCCACACACACACTCCTTCCAAATTACTCCCCCCTCCCCATTTACATTTTGTGCCAACAAGTTCCAATTAATCCCTTTTGCTTTCAAGTTGTTGTCTGATACTTGCCTTTGATGTCCCTACTCTTTATATTTCAAAAATTAGTGACTGAGCATTCCGTAGTCACCTTTCTATGCCATTCATAGCAGCCTATAAAGCCATTGCATTTCTCCTCCATTATCTTTTCCAGCCTGTTTAGTTTCTCCCTGTAGAGAGCCAAACCAACCCCTGGACAGCTGTTAGGCTCCCCTGTACTTCTACATCCTTTCCAGAATGACAGAGAGCAGGAGGGGGAAGAAGTAAATCAAAGCCCCACACAGTATTAAAGAAATTGGTTCCTCAGGTTTTTACAGTAGAGCTTGTTTTATTCTTTACCCCTTCAGACATTGACGCCTTGTTTTGTATTTTTCAGGGCTATGAACCTGCTTCAGTGACTCTACAGTACTTCAGTGATAGTAACTAAATTAAAGCCCATCACTTGTGTACATAAAGGCGTGCTGGTTCTCCCTTCTGTCCCAAGACTTCAATACAGTGGAGGTAGAGATTGTTTTTCTTTATATATAAAAATGTTTATAGACTACACAGCTCATACAGCAGACAAGAAAGTTGGCATTCGACTTGCCATTTCAGATATAGGAGCGTGCATCTTCTCTCTCCTACTTTTTCACCTACTCTGTGTATAGAGCCTTTAAAACAGGAAGCAAAAAACATTCCCTCCATGCATTTTGAAACAGCCCAACTCACTGGAGTAACCTTGATGTGCTCCTGCTTCCTGCCACACTGCACTTAACTGCACGTTTACTTAACTGCACCGTATGCAAACCACACATGTGGACATACAGGCCTCCAGAAATCAAAACTTTCCAGTGAAGAGCATTAAAGCTCTCACTTTCATTTTATTTTAGTTTGTTTGTTTGTTTGTTGTTTTTTCTTTTTAATTCTGTGGATTGTGTTCATCTAGACTAGTGTCTCAGTGGCCGGATTGCACCTCAGCAGGGTCAGGGTAAGGAAGACCATAGTCCTCTGCACAGGAGATAATATATTTTCTGGTATAAAGAACCACAGTCCTGTTTCCCAGATGCTAATGCTTCAGTGTCATCCATTCCACCTCCAAGAAGCAAATAATATGTATTGTTGTTGCATCTCAGTTTGTTGTCACAAAATATATGGAGGAAGGGGGGTTGACTTTGAATAAGTCACTTATATAAAGTATCCATAAGGGTTTGCCCAAATACCACAGCTTATTTCTTAGTGTACTTCTCCTGCTGGGTCAGTGCAGCACGCTGACACAGGGATCAAGGTCTCCAGCCAAGTTTACAGCCTGGGCCCTGAAGCTTAACTTCAGGTTGCCACACATCGGAGCTGTGCAACTGGGGCTGGAAACCCTTTCTGAAGCTGGCCCAAGTGAAAGTGAGAAATTTCTAGGACTGAGTGTCCTCAGCTGGATCATTTGTTGTTACCTAGCACTTTTCTTCCTTGCTGGCTCTCTTCATAAATCCCAAGAAACTCCTCTTGGCAGTTCAGTGATGATGTTATTGACAGATGCTTTACTATAATCTTTGTCATGCCCTTCAGAGACGGTCGGAGTATCCAAGAGCACTCTGTGTTTCCCACGTATCCTGATGAGGAAGGAGCAGAGATAAACCCCCGAGGCTCTTCTAACTCCACTTCTGATGCACATTCTGTGGATAAATGTGCACTTCAGTGATAAAAGCATTAAGAAAAGACAGTAAGAGCTTTCTACAAACCCTGCCAATTCTGCCCACGATTGAAGATAGTCTAGCAGGTCAATAGAGTTAGTGGGAAATGGTTTTCCAATATTTAGTTTTCTTTCTCTTTTTTTTTTTTCTTTTTAATCTCTTCCTTGCTGGAAGTTTGAATCTCCTGATATCACTGGCAAGAGCACAGCTACTGGAGCCATTGGAAAGGCACGCTTTTAGTTGGCCAAAATGAACGGATCTCATAAAAAGCTTAACCCTACATAGGACATATATAAATATACTTGCACACATATACATTTAAGACCTGGTCCCATCAGATAGATCATTTCTTAGGCTCCAGCATAGCAGGTTGCTTTAAGCCTGCAGGAGTTCTCAATGTACATGGGCACAAGGCAGTCCTGTTGCCTTCATCTCAGAAACCCAGGCAGCAGACACAAGGTAGGCAGCATAAAGTGAGCTGCCAGGCCTTAGAGGAAAGCAGACTTGCTTGCAAATTTGCTGAGCTGTGCTTTGAATCAATGCCTGGAAAACAAATAAACAGGCATCAGGATACCAGTTTGGTCAAGTACCCAGGCTGACAGTCCTACCAAGCCCAAATGTTCACTCACTCCTAAGGAAAAAAATATTAATTTATTTTAAATTGACCTTGTGACCAGCCTTTGACAAGAGTTATGAAATATTATACTTTTTTTATGCCTTTTCTGGTTGTCCAGAAACACAAGATGTGGTGGTTTGGGCCGGACTGGCCACTGAAAGGAGGAGAGTGGGCTTAGCCTGTAGCTGCGTGCACACACAGTGCAGTCAGATTCAACACTTGTTAAATAAGAGACCAAATCAACAGGGAAATATTTGGAAGTATCTGAGTGGTTATAACAGAGCAGGAGGGGAGAAAACAAGATCACTAATGAGAACTGTATGTCCCTTTAGTACCAAGCATAATAGGGTTGTCTGCCTCCCAAGGCAGCAATTTTTGAAGTTGTACCCTCTGTAGAGCAGCTTAAATTCCGTTTAAGTGTGCTTCCTCCCACACCAACGTTTATGAGCTTTCTGCTGAGACTGGATGCTGACACCGCACTGTGTCTCTGTGTGCCTGCATGGGATGCTGAGAGCGCAGAGGGGGAGAGCTGAGCCCCTCAGCTGGGTAGGAATCCTTCACATCTAGAAGGGAGATGAGGAACATTTGCCTCCCGAGGAAGGTGCTGCAGTGTGAATAGCACTGCACAGCAGCAGCCACCGTCAGAGGGCACACGTAGGGAAGCACAACGCGGCTTAACCCACAGTGGAAGAGAGCTGAGTTACAGGGAGGGTACCCTCCCTCCAGCAGAGCTGGCCTTAAAAAAAGAAACCAAACCTCTTCCACCACAGTCTAGATTGAAAAGCAAGGAGTTAATCACAAAGCTTTGCACAAGGGCAAGGCAAGGGCTCCTGCATGTTGTTGGAGGACGGGGGCCCTGTACTGGCACCAGGGGACAGCCATGCAGGCGTGGGTGCAGTGGTCTGGAAGAGGGTAAAGCCCAGCAGGCTGAGCCAAAAAAGCTTGCCTCTGGGTTCCTTTTAAAAATTGTTTTTGCATTCAGAATGACACCTCAGTGCAGGTCATTACAGCACCACGCGCTTGCTGTGACTTTGAGCTCCCCCAGCCATGAGCATCTGGGCTGAGACAACCCCGCTCCAGTGCAGGCAAGAGCCTTGCGTGCGTTTCCAGCCCCTGCTAACCAGCCCTGGAGCTGCTCTGCTAATGGTGCCCCCACCGCCGCTGGCTGGGCTGCACTTTCCTCATGAGAGAAAGCATCCCCACCTCCTGTTGCTTTATCACTTCAGGGGTCCTATTTTCATCTCCATGGTGTGATGTCTTGGTGCACCAACAAGGGTGCTGGGGGGGAAGAAGGGGAAAGCACAGGCTGCATGCCAACAGCCTGGCTACAGCACTGTAGTCTGCAAGCGGAGCCAGTAGCACGTCCCCTCCTGAACAGATTGCTTTTTAAAGCCATGAGCAACAGCATTCTCCAATTTGTTGGCAGAGGTAGTGTCACCCAGTAACTCAGGGGTACTTCAGCCTTTTCATCAGCCTTCCTCCAATGCTGTCACAGTATCGGATGTGGAGAAATATTTAAACGCTTAATAGGCAGGAGGAGGCACGTCAGTAGGACAGGGCTGTTTGTTGTGCTTTGAAAGCAGTAACAGGTTGACAGAGTGCCTCAGCCGAGACCAGGGCTCTGCTTACGCAAAGTACATGCATAAGAGATTAAGTAATCCTCCCTACCCTAAGAAATTCTGTGCAAAACACAGAAGATAAAAAACCAATACCACCTTCCAAGGGTGGTAAGGGAGAGACTGAGCAGATTAAGCAACATACCCAAGCGTATACCCAACCTGCAGCATCAGCGTTGACAGACCCCTGGCTATCCCATGCAAGCCCACCGCTTCTTGCTACAACAAAATCTGTCTTCCCTTGGCTCTGCTCACCAGCCTCCCTCTCTCCTCTCTCCCATGCGCTCCTCCCAGGACAAAATCCAGAGAGCTGCATCCACTTGCACCTAGCTGTTAGGGGACTCGAGCTTGGGCACTGCCCAGAGCTGCTCCCGAACTAAACCAGCCCCACCACCTTCTGCAAACCATGCGCTGCAGCCACCGGCATGCCACAGCCCCGCACCGTTCTGCGGTCACACTGTGGTCACCCCATCCCCGTCCGCACTGGGGGCAGCTTCGCTGGCTGCTCCTGTGCCGAGGTCCCCAGTGCACCCCCACTTCCCCACAGCACCCTCTGTTCAGCACCTGAGGAGAGGCACAGCGTGCTTAGAGACAGTTTAATACAAAAGTCCGGGACAGTCAGCACGGCCAAGCACTTCCCGCAATAGGAAGGCAAAGTCAGATAACAGAGCCAATGGTCAGTATCTGGCTCAAAGAGCCCTCAGGGCTTCGAACCTTTTGTATGAAGCCATATGTAAAAGCTGTATGCAATACTACAGCCTCCGCCTCTGGGAAAGATTTACAGCTACAGAGCTGAGCAATTCCCTGCATAAACTGCCTGACCTACCGTAAATCTGTGAAAGCCATTACAGCCTTCAGAGTCAGTGGTCAGCAGCCAGTTGTGTCAGATCCAAGGGTATGGAAGATCTCCAGCCAGCTCCCAGCTTATCTGTGGGGATAGCCTGGCTACCGTACAAGCGATGACTTGTTTTGTTAACTGGTTTTAGTTTAGAAGAAAGTTCTTCCTTAGTCAGCACCTGTACTAACATTTCTATTAGGTCAGCGTAGGACTCTGAATGATGCCACGAGGGAGAAAGACCAGCAGCTGCAGCACAAAGCAGGAGAAGCCAAGTGCTCATCTGACCTGAAAGTGGAGCATTAACCACAACGTGCTCTTTTCTTTAATATATACTTTAATTTCCTGCTTATAACTGCAGCACACTTCATTCAGGATACAGAAAAAAAAAATAATTATTCCTGTTAGCAGAAATCCTCCATTTTCTGTTGGTAACAAAATAAAATACAAGATGGGAAGAAACATGAAAACTCTGTCCAGGATTAGCTCTTTTCTCTTTCTCAAGAAATTCTGTGGGACAATCACAGCTATTCACTAATTGGAGAATTACATACTTGGCTGTATGTGTGCACATGCAGGGAAGGAGGAGGGATAAAGCTCTGGAAGACAAAAGTTTTGCATCAGCAGTTTCTCAGTGCAACTACTTTGAGCCAAAGTGAAACACTTCTCTAGAATGACAAATCAGTTTATTTGACATGGAAAAGAGACTTGAAGTTATCTCATGCCTCTTTGAAACCTCTCAAATCCCATCAGATTAAACAAGCTGAAGCAGTGGATTTCTCCATTTGCCAATGAAA